CCGGTACATTCTTTTTTTTTTTTTTTTTTTTTTTAAGAAGAACAACCCGAGACGGTGGTGTTAGGACTGCTGATAAGATCAGCCACCACTAACACTTTTCGGGGAGGCTCCGTCTATATTGGTGGGGAGCAGCACCTGCTGAAAAGCGGGTCCAGCGTCACAGAACATCATGTTTGCTTGTTTGTACAGACATCTGATACTAGCAACTGCTGGGTGCATAAACCACCCTTGGAGAAGGAAATATGCTGAGGCTACATGACAACCCAGTAGCCTGGAGGCTTGTGATGTGAATCTGACTGACGTGGTGTAACAACTATGTGCTTTCTTGTACTGTGCTGGCTTGCTGGATTGCAGTCTTTTCCATGTTGTCGTTGAGTCTGATGACATATCGACAAGGATTATCAGGTACTTGAACGCAGAGAAGGGTGGGCGAGTCACTTTTATGCCTCTCAATCAGCTGAGACCCCATCGGGTGCAGTACCCAGCCAGCCCGGATGTAGTGCCGATTCTCCATAAACTCAAATTCAACAGGGTGTACGCAAACGCCTTTGCTCAGGTACTGGCTGACCATCTGTAAACCAGAGTTTTCTGCATTGGGCTTTTGGTAATGTGAGGTACTGGAGTTATGCTGGGAAAAATCTCCGAAAAAGTCGGAAAAACTTTCAAAAACTTCCGAAAAGACGATTTTGAGGAATTGTGTCTGCTGAGTTTTGGGAGACTTCGCTTGTGTATTGCTGTCGACGGATTTGTGTAACCAGTTTTTTGCAAAATCTGGTGTTCGGCTCCTCATGCTCATTTTGTTGTTCTCACCGTTCATCATCATGTTTGGTGAGGAGGCCAGTGACGGGGAGGGGCGCAAAAGCCACCCATACATGCTTAATATTTGCTTGTCATTTGCTTTTGCAAGGAATATGAGTGTGAACGATATACAGAACACCAAGTTGCGAAATCTCACAGATGCCCAAGTAGTCGTATACAAGCAGAGAGCACAATTGCACCGAGAATCCATCCAAATAGAGCAATACAATGAAGTAATGAGCCAATGTTCAAGCCCTCAGGCCACACCAACACAGTATCCAAAGTCGCTCCTCTCTGTCTGCCGCCCAGCGCCTAGCCTACTCTACTCGCCTATTCCTACCTACAGCTGTGTTCACGCAACAGGCTCACTTCGACTCTAGAAGACCAATGTACATGATGTCAACACCATAGCCGACCTCTCCCCATGCACCAGGTACGTATACATCACCCTCATCAGACCTTGTTACCCCACACTCGCCTCCTTCCTTGAAGACCACCAGACCACCCCCTTAACCCCTGGCGCCCAGCAGCCCGGCTATGGCTGCCTGCGCCCCGCTGCCCTGCAGCGCCCAACTTCACCTCTTAGCGCCCCGTCAGCGCCCTTGCCTGCAGCGCAGCATCAATGCTGCAGCGCAGTAGCGTATCCGCATTGCCTGCGCAGGCCAGAATGCCTCGCCTGGGCTGCCTCAATTCCTATATGGAAGTGGCAGCCTCCTGGATGCTGCGTGTGGCCTGGCTGGAAGCTTCCAGTAGCTTCCGGTTGGGCCTCAGTCCCTCCGCCCAGGCCCGAGGCTACAGTTGAGGGCCTGGGCCCCTTTACAGTTGGGCACGGCCTGAGTCTTCGGACTTGGGCTGTTTGCTGCATCTGTGCAGGGCTCCCAGGTAGGTGCGTCGACAGTACTGCTTTTGCATAGGCCGATGGCCTGTTTCCCAACGTATCGGCCCTGCTTTGTGTGTAGTGTGTAGTGTGCCCAGGCGCAACTGTCAAGGCCTGGGCCAACTGTACGACGCAGCTTAGGGAGGCTCACGCGGCTACTCAACCAACTGGCGTGGTGCAAGAACCTGAATACCCACATATGGAAGTGTCAATTTTTTGGCCTCTGACGAATATTCAGGCCCGCCTTCACTTAGGGCGGGCACTCGGCTTGCTGGGGGTCTTTGCCCAGCGCATGACAGGTCTGATAGGGCCTTGTGAGGTCTCGTTCCTCCCACTTTGTGATCTGTTTCTGTTTTTTTTTTCCCCCCTGAAAGCTGAGGTCATTGCACAGAAGTTGAAAGAATCTTCGCTTGTGTTTTTTTTCTTTTCCTTTTCTTTCTAAGACCGTTGAAATTACTTATCATTGGAAGTTTGTTATCAACGTGCTCGTGCATTTTGATTTGGTGGCACATCGATTCCACAAAATACCTTGTGGACTCCTGCGGAGTGTTTTTCCAAGCGCAAAACAGCAGAAGAGGGGTATATAACTATATATATAAACCAGAACCACTTGGTTCTGGCTCCTTGTCCAGTCTGCGGAGCATCAGTCCGGTTCCTATTCACCGGCATGTCAAAAGGATTACATCATATAGCCACACAAACTGAAAGGATTCACGTGATTATTAGCCAGGCCCTGTCGGGCCTCAGAAAATCTCGAGCCCTTAGGCCCAGGCCAAATTCGGAGAGTTGAGGGCCACGCGACCCTCACAAGAAAAATGCTAAAACACTTGGGGGCCAGTCGAATTTAGAAGTCCGGTCCTGCTAGAAGTCAGCAAGGTCCAGTTTTGGGCAGTCGCAGGCCCAAGTCAAGAAAGGTCTAGAGATCGAAGTCTACCTGTTGGGCCTGAAGAGTCCAGAAGTCAAGTGGTTACTGGTTGGGCCTGGTACCAAAGGAAAAGTCCAGAAGTCGAAAGTCCAACCTTGCAGCAGCACCCTCCGGAAGGCACCGGTACCCACGAAACATGCAGTCCACTGCACAAGGCCCAAGCGGCCAGTACCTACCGGTCCAGACAGACCAACCCAGTCCATGCAACTATATAAGCAAGCACAGTGCCTTGGCGATTCATTCAGAGTCGCATGTTGTGGAAGCACCGCGCGACTTGTGCGGCCATTGCGACCCTGTGCCCTGTGGTAACGAGGAGGACGACGTGAAGCAAGTTGCAGGCAACGAAGAGGAAGGCGGCCATAGCCGCTGGAGACCAAGAGCGTGTACGTACTAGAGGAAGAGGGAGATTGTGTACACATTGAGAGAGGGAAAGAGAGAGGGGGAGACTAGCGGGACACACATCTGAAGCTGTTGTTGGATGGAAGTTGCTGGGCCGTAGTAGGAGTGGCCAGACTATTCAGCTGTGTAAATTCTTGAAATAAAACGAGTTGGTTGTTCTCTTGGTGCTCGCTACTCGTGCGTGTTGGAAACCTGTTGAACATTCTCTGCCGAGCTTGTTTGATGACGACTGCATGTGAGATTGTTGCAAAACACTTCTCTCCATCATGGTTGAGAAGAAGAGGGGGATTGTATTCGTCCTCAGACCCTCTTTTTATGCCCGCCTCCTCCAGAATTCCCACTCCAAACTGATTCAGAGTCAGGGCCCAGTAGCCAGAGCTAGCTCGGTTAGCATGAATCATGCCCGCCTTTGGACCAGGTTCATGCAGTCCTGTAGGTGCCGGCTGATCCTCAAATACAACCACAAAAACCGGACTGAAGCTGTCGAACCTCTTCTTTGCGTTAATTCTGCCGAGTTGTGGGAACGATAGATGTCACTTTAGGCGTGGAGTTCCAGCCCGAAGGAAAACGCTCTTGCGAGCCTCCAGAGTCCAGACAAGGACCTTCACACCCATTTTCTACTTATTAAGTTATTAGTACTTATTTTTTGTATGATGCTCCTATCCGGAGCCCTATTTCAAACTAGAACGGCATTCCGTCCGTCCTAACTATAGCCTCCGGGTAGGAAAGCTAGAGACAATCCTGTTCTTCAGCACACCCCTACGGGCAAGTGCATATGATGTGATGATTCTTTGTACTACCATAGTCAGTGTAGTGTGCTACCAGATGCCTCGGCACGGGCCCAGAATGTGCATACTGGGTCTGGTACAGTCCCAGTATTTGGTACCAGCTTCAGCACCACTGGGGCTCATGAGGATAAGGAACATGTGAAGCAATGAAGCGCCCAGCTCCACGTAAGTACGGCCATTCTTTCTTGATTCGGTGCAGTTAAAAGGGAGGCTGGTAGCAGGCTCTACGTCCAAGATACAAGGTATACAGCACTCACTTCCAAGGGTCACTCTGCTGTGATGACAAGAAATTGGTAAGACCCACCACATTGCCTCGCAGTCTACATGCTATTGGTTGTTGCCTATTGAATTTTCTCAATCTTTTCCCTTCAAATATCGCTGATGGGGGGACTAGATGCTTGTTGTTGGCATTGAAAAAAAAAAGAAAAAAAAAAGGATGCTTGTTGGCATGTGGACAGTTAACACAGGACAACAGCCAGGCAATCTGGCGAGGCCCCCTCACAGAAGTACTATGTAAGGGTTAAGCTGTTTGAAAGTTGGTTGGTGATTACATCCCTTCGCTGGAGGGAAGTTCTATAGAACTGTTGATCATATGGTTCCTATTACGACCTTAGAAGATCTACATCTCACAGACTAACAACTCCCATCATGCCTAGGCATGCCTCACTTACAAAATATATATATGTATGGGCGTTGTAGTACGGTTGTACGGAGGTTGTGCTCCGTGTTGTACTACATTGTACTCTCTACCCGCTGCAGCACTTTTGGATTAAAAAAAAAAAAAAAGGTGATCAGAAATTTCTGAAAAGTATAATTGATTTTGAACAACTTTAGCCTCAGACATGAAGTGAAATTCGCAACCAATTTTGAGATGAAAATCAAAACCTCAAAAAAAGAGAGAAAAAACTTGAGAAAAGTTTAAAAAACTTAAAAAAAAGGCAGTTTTGTTCACACGTACAAACGCGTACCAAAACAAATTCATGCGTACTATCCATGTCCGTGTACATCGCGTACGAAGGGATGCCCAGCATCATGGTGTACCCTTAACCAGGTTATATTTACCCAAGTCACACAAGTTGTATGCCATCTTGAAGGTTTTGTGGGTATGCCCTTTTATACGGTGTGAACTCCGAAGCACACACATCACCCAAGGCATGCATCCGGCATTCTCTGCGCCTTTCTAGATATGTTTAGTCTCGTGTGTTTTATTTGCATCACGTCATATGCTGATACCAGTTTGCCTTGTTATGTTCGAAGGCTGTGCTTGTATAGTCCTTGGGGACACATGCTAAACTGAGAAGTTCGGCACATGCTAAAGTGGGACACATGGTAAAGTGGGACACATCCTAAAGTTGTAGGGATATACCGAGAAGGTTGGCATGGTGCGCCCGGAAATATGACACAGAGAAATTGGGACAAGGTCACAAGGGTCGAAAGTTTCTCCTTTTGTGATGTCGTTTAAAAATGCTACACGGTCTACACTTAACGTACTGGCCATTCGCTGTCCAGTTTCACTGAATGGTGGTTGGTTTTCCATGATGTTAATCATTCAACAGGTCTTCTCAAAGACATTGATATGCCGTGATCTGGAGGTTGCGACAAACATGGCACGCCAATCGGAAATGGATTGTGTTACCCTTGAAGGTGTGTTTGCTGAAGCACCAGATCTCTTCTAAAGCATGAGATAACCGATCTCTCATCAGTCCCGCAAGTTCTCGAGTCAATTCTTTCACCATGCAAGCATATCTTTGTTATTCTTGGGCCCGCCTTGGGCCCCACCTTGGGCCTTTCCATTCTCCTGCTGGTCTGCTCTCCATCCTCTTCTATCCACCAATCTTGCTTTCAAAACACAAACAAAACAACAAAACGAACAGCTCTTTCTGGGCCAGGGCCACCTGCCTCTGTATCCGCCATTCTGGGCCCTGGGGAGCGTCAGTTCAGTTCCGTTTCCTCCGGCAAGTCAAGAATTTACAATACGACGCACTCACGCTTCCTTCCATGTGGCCAAAGGACCTCTGATCACCATTGATTTACTCCGTAAATGAAGGATTGACTGTCAGCTTGCCACTCTCCTACCCTATACCCAACCCTCCACTCTCCTACCGTATACCCAACCCTCCTATAGGGTATAGGAGAGGGGCAAGTTCACAGTCAACCCTTCATTATAACAAATTTGGTCCTAACCACCGAGTGTTATCGGTGTAACAGTAACTGTAACATAATTACACCAAACTTGCTTTTATAACAACAAACGTAGGGCGTGTAGCTTTTGGGCACGTCACAAGCCAGGTCAAAAGCTACGAGCCGTAATATTTTCTTACCGTTGTTCTTTGCAATTGTCCTTGCAAAGAACCAAGGTGAAAAAATCTGAGGGCTCGTAGATTTTGGCTGACTGAGCCTGACTGAAAGAAATGTCTGAGGGTTAGAAGTGGGTCCCACAGCCTCTGTAGAGGCTCCAGAAAGTCCTTAGGCGGGGTGGTTAAGGGTCAAGAAGAGGTGCCCGGGGCCTCCAGAAGTGAAAGTAGGTTGTAGGTCCATGGTTGTAGTATGCTGGATAGGGCCATAGGGAGGGCTGCTTGAGTGCTTGGTCTTAGGGGGTCTGAGGATCAGGGCCTTATCTTGGCTCCACCATGGGCTAGGGAGGGGCAGGGGGGGAGTGGGGGTGGAGGGATAGGTTCAGGTCATACTTGCAAGCGGACGCCGTCTGGGCGGTTCCGCACGTGCGGCAGACCGCCGGACCGGACCCGCGCGGCGCACGAACTGTCTCTTATACACATCTAGATGTGTATAAGAGACAGCCTATACTCCAACCCCAACCCCCCCATACCCCCCCCCATCCCCGAGAGTTTCTCAGCGGATTTGGGCTGTACTCAGCAAGCGCAGTACTTGAAAAATCATCAGTGGACGTTTTTTTTTTTTTTCTGGTCGGCAGACCGCAGACCGGTCGGCCCAACTGGTCGGCTGCAATACGGTCGGCGGTCGGCAGGGATGCAACCCTGTGAACATGTGTAAAAAAAAAGGAAAAAAAAGAAACAAGGGTTACTGATTATGTCAGGTTGATTTGGCAGCCGTGTAGGTGGACAGGAGGGAGTACCAGTGGTACGGATTTGTGCTGATTGGCGAGAGAGCGAGGTGTGTGTCCATGTGGTGTTGAGTGTGGTGTGCATCGAGTTGGACACTACAGCCTTGTGCAGGGGTGGGGTGGATATCACAACCGGTATGGTTCCGCTCTTGAACACTGTGTCCTGGGACTTGAGGCCCGAGGTCGCTGGTTCGAATCCGTGCTTGCAGGGTGGAGGACGTCAGGCTCACGCTGGGATGGATAGCGCCTTCCTGTAACCCCAGCTGTTGGGGAACTAGATGTGCAGATTCACTTAACTGCTGCTGATTTGACAGCTGTCGTGGATTCGTCTTGCTATAGGAATGAATTGTTGGTGTGGCAGTCTGTTGTCAGGTCATATATTCCTATAGCAATTTCTACCTCATCCGAGGCAGTGGCAGCAACTGTAGGCTGGGTGAGCTGCTGCTGTGTGAGCCACGCTGTGTCACAATAGGTAGTTTGGCACCATGGTGTCTGCCTGGCAGGATATCCAAGAAAGGGAGTAAGGATTGACCTATAGTTTGGTTACTTTGGTTGCATCTCTTTGAATGCATGCAGATCAGATATTAAACTGACGAGAACATATACTACAGTCGATCTTTTAGCCAAAAGG